AGGGCTGGGTATTAGGAAAAATTTCTCCACCAAAAAGATTTTCAAGCTTTGGAACAGGCTGCCCAGGGAAGTGGCGGAGTCACCATCCCTGGAGGTATTTAAAAGATGTGTAGATGCTGTGCTTAGGGACATGGCTTAGTGGTGGACTGGGCAATACTGGGTTAATTGTTGGATCTGATGATCTTAAAGATCCTTTAGAACCTAAATGATTCTGTGATTTGATGATTGCTAGTCATCTGGCATTTATCAGAGCTCTAAAAAAGATGTATCAGTCTCAGATGCACGTGCTATTTATTTCACATGTTAAATTATAAGTCAACTGCAAAAGAAAGTCCTCAGTAGGTAGGAAATGTCAGGAGCAATATGGCCTTTGCAGAAAGACCTTGAGCTGCATATTGAACAGAGAGGACAGGAAGGTATTGAACAGGTGATGATTAAGTGTGTACTCTCTGCCTCCGGCACCAAATGGGGAAGGGTCTCTGAGGTATACAAAGAAAAATGCACAGGCAGTGGTTCTGGCAGCCCCTGGCTTCTGAGTGCTCAGGTTCACAATCTGCATTGCAATTCACATTAAACTGGTATTGTCTGGGGAGAAAAAGAAGAGAAGACAATAGTGGACTTTTATCAGTGGACTGAATCAGAGTGACACCCATGTGGGTCATCAGCAGGGCCAGAATATGTTGAGTCTCCTGCTGAGACACACTGAGCTGAGTTGGTGGCACTCAGTGCAGTGTGTCAGCCTTTATGTAAGCCATACACCCACCACACAGCACTGTTCCCTTTGTTCTGGCTTTCTAGCTCGAGCACAAATTTTCAGAGGCACTGCGGTGCATCCCCTGCTGCTGCAGTAACCCATGGCTGGGCTTTCATGCACCCCTGCCAGCAAAGGGGAGCCTGTGCTGTCACTGGGTATTAGGAGTAGGATCCCAAGCCCAGACAGTGAATCAGGCCCCTTAGGGGATGGGGGCAATGAGATGCCACTTAAATGTCTCAGACATACCCCAGCATGTGCAGTAGCAGAACTGTTGGCACTTGTATAGCTTTCCTGGACATAACATAGATGGAAGCATGATTTAAATGGGGATTTGTTGATGACACCCTTGCCTGCAGGAGCTAAATTCAGGCCATCATACTCAGGGAGTTATGACAGGAAAGAATATTATCCTGCATTTACATGATGCAATGAAGCACCATGCAAAATTACCAGCCTATTGGCAAATGCATCAGGAATCAGCACGGCTGTACAACCATGGCCCCATACCTTGGCCAGTTAAACCTGACAAAAAAGGTGCAGCTGACTTATTAAATTAGAGCCATGCTAAAGGAAGTGTGCTCTGTAGACTAAGGACTAATTCGAAGCTTAAAACATTGCACTGATGGCTGTGCTGTGTAAGTGGCTCATGAACAATCCTGGGCGACCAGTAAAAATCTAAAATTTACTCGAACGCATGCTAATGAGTGTCATCTCCTATGTGGCAAACTGACATTTTTTCAAAGGCCTGCTAACACTATCAGTTTCAGACAGATTGTATAAAGGATGTGGAACACATCATTAATTCAATAGAGACTCACTGTCGAATTCTGAGCCTTTGTTTCAAAGCATAAAGGTGGCAAGCACATTTCTTCAAGAATTATATTTGATGGACAATATACAATACAAGTATATTCTTCATGCTTTGTTCTTGCAATGGCTGAAAGATATTGTTGAGGATTTTTTTTTCAAAAGAATTCTGCTTGCTATTCCACAATGCTAGACTAAATGGTTAAAATTTGGAGAAATTATATACCCACTGAAAATTGAGCTTTATAATTTCAAGCATTAAGCAACACTACTAGGTGATATTTTCTGCATTACCTAGAGTCATGTATCTGGTGAAACATTTCAGACAGAGAGGGAAGATTAAAAAAAATCTTACAGCTGTGCTGTGAAGTGTTGCAAAAATAGTTACAACTAAAACATCCTTTCTTGTGATCACAGACTTTTTTTAGAGCATACCAAACACTACTAGAAAAAGAGCCATTCAAAAAGTGATCTTCTTGGTATGTGTGTTCTCATATAGAAATAAATTGAAGGCAATACCACCTATGCAGCAGTGACAAGTTAATTCAATTTCCATCTCAAAATCAGGTAAAGTGTATCTCATTTGTTACCATGGATACAAGACATTATTTCCATTTGTTTGAGATCTCACAGTGGGTATGAAATTAAACTGTGACACAGTTTTATGGAGGAAGTTGACTAAAACCCCCATAAGTTCAATGTCATTAGTCCAAAGGATTTTCTTTTTTTAGACACAGCAAATAAGGAGGTTGCTACTACTGCCCATAAGGTACACTTTATAAGCAAACATCTGTGTGATTTTCCTGATGCTACTTTGGATCAGTGGGAGTGATGGAAGAGAAAATAAACATTCATTTCATCAGTCCTGCAAACACAGGGAAGAATCCTGAAAAATATGCAGATGGTAGAAGTACATTAAAAATACATTGGTGTTGTGTTATTTGCTATTGTTTGGCACCAAATATGTTTATAAAAAATGTCTTGATTCTGAAAATGCATTCAGTTTTTCTCAGATAAATCTGCTTTTCAGGCTGAAGCTCAAATGACTTGCTCTCTAGTTTTCAGAGTTAGAAGGAGAAGTGTATGAAAAAGTGGGGGAGAATGAGGAGAAAAGGAGAAGTATGTTTTTTAATGCTGACGTATATGAAGGGCTCAGGAATTCAGTGGCATTCAGTTTACCTTGTCTGAAATTAATTTTAATATATACAAAAGGATAAAAGGGAATACAGGTCTTCCTGTTAAATTATTTATACTCAAGTCCTGGATATATATTTAATATTTCATAGTGAGACTGATTTCCATAGATGCTGAGCACCTGCTACACTGACGGATTTCAGCTAAGGTTGTCATCTCTCAACATTTACAAAACCAAGCTGAGATAAAACTGAGTCTACCTAAATCAAAGGTTTATTTCTACATATTCATGCCTTAACTGCATGAAAATCACAAAGGTTATGGGATGTCATGACTGTGGCTAATTACTGAAATCCAAAACCATCATCCAGCTGCTTAACTGACTGATAATTTCCCACCAAATATTCTGAACTTCACCTCCCGTGCTTCTGTGTTGCTGCTCTCCTCAGCATATTGTCAGACTGGATTATCTGCAGTGTCTTCTCCAGCTCCTTGGGCCATCTCTAATTATATCCCATTGGGAGCAAGTAGGTCTGACCCTGAGATGGCAAACTAGAAAAATGGAGAACCTCACAGCAAAACTGTCACGAACACAGAAACTCTCAGAGGAATAGGGACTACAGTGTCCATGGCCAGCTGAACAGAGAGATTAGTCAGTTACTCTGTGTTATTGATTTGCATTATTAACATTTGCTTGAAGTTCAATAAAAATCTATTTATATTCTACAGACTTGATTATACTTCATCCAGACCCCAGACAGAAAATTATAATAATGCCAAATGGGTGCAAGGACTTCAGAATTTTTATTCAGTAGTACTTTATGCCTACTTTTCACTAATTTTAATGGAGAAATTTTAATGGATGAAATATAGCACAATCTTTACATATGGTGTTAAATTTATTAAAACCAGTGATATTTAAATATCCATTTATATAAGGATAAGATCATGAACAGACCTCAAGCTTATCTAAAGTATACAGAAACCTCAAGTATTTCTGAGTAATGACTTAATTCTGAAATCTCGGAAAGAGTTTATTCCTGAACTACCAATTACTTCCTTTCAACTTTTAAAGTATTTTGGTCAGAATTATTCCACCATACAATAAATTACCCATATTTTGTAAAACTTTGCAGGCTTAAAGGGGCTTGTGCTGATATCAATGTGTGTGTAGGGTTGCCTTGTGCTCTGTTATTGGGTGTTAGTTGGGATTTCCAGACTTGCTGGATTCGATGGGTACCAGGACAGCCATGCAATTCCTAAACCAACAAGGCAGCTCGTATGTAAATGAGCATCTCCTGGGTTTTGCCATACAAAAGCAGCTTAGTACAGTCTGGAAGTGGGTACAGCTTGTCTCCTTCTGGAATCTAGTAACTGGGGGTGACAGAGGAGTGTGTGCCATGCTACAGATGAAGGAAGAAAATTAACCTCTGCAGTGCCAGGTGGAGAAGCTCCACTCCAGCTGGGAGCACAACCCAGCACTGTGGTGAGCCACTGCCCTGGTGCTCTGTCATGTACCAGCTGAACACAAGTGCCTGGGCAGGGAAGATGCTGCACACATGCATGCTGGATGAGGTCATGTGTCAGTGGATATGTCAGACAACACAGTGGGAGCAGTCTGGATATGCTTGCCAAGACTCACCCAGCAGAGTGTCAGGAGCACACTAACAAATAAGGGATAATAATTATGATAAACTGACACCCCTTGCCCCTGCAGGGACACAGTGCAGTTTCTCGTTGACTGGTGTCAGAGAAAAAGCTTTTTTGCTGCACTAAACCACTTAAAAACTGTCTGAATGAAAAGGTTACATCCATGGGTCAGCATAAATGATAATAGCTCAGGAAATAGCACTGATGCTGCTAATGATTTGCAAGTTAAGAGGGTAGTCGGGACACGCTGATTTCTCAGTCATTCTCAAACAATAGCAGATAAAAGGATGCAAATGAATGTAAATGAAGACACCACAGTACATTGACTATGATACATTAGGCCATTTTTAAAAAAAAAATTTGTGCAGTACCAGGGCCAGTTGGATTAAGTGAGAAGAGGAACAGAGCAATTTGCTCATAACTAGCAACTGCATAAGGAGTTTTCTTGAATGATCAATGGGTTTTCAGTTTATTAATTCCTATAATGACTATGCCTAAATATATCCCCAAATTCTCCCCCCTTTTGCCCCATCCAAATTCCCAGTGATTTTCTGAAAAGAAATCAGGACTTTAATGAATAGTCTTGAGTACAGCAGAGCCCCATGGTACCACTTTCCTAAAATAGAAGACCTGTTCTTTTCTTCCTTAGCAATACCTGCTGCATGCCTTGCATTGTCTGCTGTAGGAACTGCAGCTGCTGGTCCTTTGTAAGGCTTTCTTCTGTTCGAAAGAGCTGTCCTTTCTCCTGCTTCAGGAGCTCCACTTCGTTCCTATAAGCATCCAGCTGCCATCGAAGACTATCGTTCTCTTCCTTTAGCGCGTATGCTTGGGCGGCTAGAGCTAAGAGAGAATGAAAATGTGAAAAGATCAGTGAAATGGTTTATTTACTTTCAAATAATGCAGAGGACATTGTCTGGAGAGATGACAATACAGCTGAACACCAGTGAGATATTTCGGAGCTGAGACAAGACCCAGCAGAGCTGAAAATGATTAGGTTCTGGCAAGAATTGTTGCTGGGAGGTTATTTCCTGGGATGGAAGAAGCCATAAAGTGACCCTGGATAATTCAAATGCTACTTGCAATCTGGCTGCTAAATTTAGGCTTATATTTTAGGAAGAAACTGGCATGCAGTCCAAGGGCAAGGCACTCACCAACTTTACAACGTTTTCCCAGTGATGTTATAGGAACTGATACAGCCATTTAGTATTTATACTTGCACAGTGGCCAGATGTTCCAGTCAGGTCTGTGCTAAGGAATTTTCCCAATGTAAAGTTGCTGGATTTAGTCCCATGAGAGAGGAAACACAGAAATTTCGCTCCAGCCTTGCTATGAACTACTTCACAGCAACAATTATGAGGAACCATTTAGACAGAAAAATGATGTAATAGAAAAAAATTATATAAAATGCAAATGCTGAAAAAAAGTGTTGGCACTACAAGAACATTACTACATTAAAGGCATTGAAAGACACTTAAGTCATTTCCTTAGGAAGCTCCATTTGGCCCCTTTTCAATTTAGAATGGCATTTTTATTATCATAACTGATAGCAGGTGTTTGTGAAGAAATCGATTAGTATGCAGGGATGGAAATTACATTTGCCAAATGACTTGCACAGTCTGCAATATAAGCTAAAATTTGTGTAGCAAAAGGCAGAAGGCTATAAAGTATGTAGTAGGAACATTATTTAAATAAATTATCTGAACATAAATACATATAGGGAAAGGTGGCATTCATTAATTAGGGATGTGGCTATCATCCTATAGAAGAACCCACTCCTGGTAGTATTTATATTTGGCAGTAGCAGTGGTCATTTAGCACAGCAAACTGCCATACCATGCTATTTTCTTTCTTGGAACCTGGTGGCACAACAACATTACAGAGCAGCTGTAATTAAAAAACAACAATCTACTATAGCCAGTTCTATCAACATTTGGTAACTGAACCACATAACTGATTTACATTCCTGATTAAATGATTTCAGGCTTGGTATCACAGAATTCTTTTTTGCCCACCTACAACAGCAGTATGGTTAAACTCCAAATTATATGAAATTGCATATTAACTCCATTTAATACTAGGCACCTCTTGACTAGACCTTCTGCAGATAAAGAGTCCCCTGTTCCCCATGATAACATGATTCAGCACATTTGTGAAATTATACCAGCAATTAGGTAGAATGTCACAATATTTCACCAGCAATAAAAATGTTTTATCTTTGGTAGGACAAACCTGCCTTCATCTCAGATCATTTTTACTACTTTTAATGTAATACAAATGCATTATTCAAAATAAAGTACAGTCAGCTACTATTCAATACAGACAGAGATTGGTTACTGTGCTTAATTTGGGTATTTTACTCTCTGCAAGATTTAGCAAGAGTTACAGTATTGTTACATCAAACTTAATTGTTCTGAAAAGCATGTAATCATCCTTCCATGACAAAATTTACCCTCAAGAAATTGCACTGATGAGTCCAATCGGCAAATAAAAGGATGAAGTATTTTTTTAGTTTTGTTTTTTTTTTTTATTTTTTAAGAGCCAACAAGCTATAATAAAAGAAAGGATTTAAAAAAAATAATAATAAGAGGCCAAGCAAACAGAAACATCAGTCCAAAAAAAAATCTCAAGTCAAAATTAAATAGTTTGTGTTGGAAAGGACCTCTAAAGATGATTTAGTACAACTTGTGCAATTGTCTTACCACCCTCATCCTAAAATATTTCTTCCTTATGTCTAATCTAAACCTACCCTCTTTCAGTTTATAACTGTTTCCCCTTGTCTTGTCACTACAGCCCCTGGTGAAAAGTCTCTCTGCCATTTGTACTCTCTTGCTTCTACCAATTAGACTCTCACAAAATTTATACCTTTGGGGTTTTTTAATAGAACACTAAATTCTAGCCAGAAACTGCCTACCCTTCAGCTCCCTGAGAACAGGAATAGAGACCATCAGGGATGCACTCAAGTTCCTACAGCGGCTCAGGAGCAGTAGTTCTCCTGCTGCTCATCATCTACTTCAGCTCTCAAAACACTTCTGAGAGCTGCTGTACAAATGGGGGTGTGAGGCCTGTGTATTTCCCCACTGAAATGTGGGTTCTGACCCAGATCCAGCTGAGTTTCAGACTGCCTTACCTAGAAAGGTTGCTTGACTATTTTCTGTGCCTCACTACAGCCTAATTGGAGAACTTCTTCTCCTTTCTGTACTCCTAGGTGAGTTCAGGCTATTAAGTGAGGCTACAGACAGCAAGAGATGTCTGCTACAGGGTCAGCAATATAGGAGAAATGAAAAGGAACACAACATCTCACAAAAGCAAGTAACCTGTATGTGATGAACCTATTAGAGTTTAAAAAATAACTAATACAAATGGAACAAGTCACAATACATAGGAGCAATGAAGGTAACTGTCTGTTTACCCTGTAGGAATGCAGTACAGGTTTTTACTCTTCAAAAACAGAAATGCACCTCTGAATGCTATTATTTCATTGCTTTAAAAATTATATGTAATATATAATATTAAAACCTGTATAACAGTAAATACATTGCGGTGCTACTAAGAAGTTCCATCCAAGGGTGGTGTCCTGATCTTTTCTGCACACCAGAAGACAAAGGCTGTGTCTGGAAGATGTTGCAATCTATTTCAAGACAAAATGAAAATATCCCAAGCCACCTAAAGTGAGAGAATAAGAATACAGAAGAGATACGTTTCTGATAGGCAGGATTCCCTCAGGTGTAGACTGCCTTATCGAAATTATTATACACTTGGGTGGTCATCCTAACCACTCGTAGCAGAGCAAGTAACAGCAGGCTCCAAGGCAGAAATATTTTCTTAAATAAATATGAAAGAAATATGAAGAAATAAGAAATATGTTCTTACACATACAGTAACGGTGTAACAAAGTATTAAATGGCCACAAACTTTTAAATGAATTAATTATAGATAAGAGTCTGTAAATGATATGACATTAACCACATGTTATATAGGTTGCTGTTTAATTTAAAGCTACAGATACTTGGTTCCTAACATGTATGGACAGAATAGTTAACAGAAAAGGAGAATAAGACAAAAGGAAGGCATCTGACAGACCTCAGGGTATCCAGCTCATTCAGCATTGGGTACTTGTTTTAAACAAAATCAGACACATTCTTTGTGTTGACCTAACATAACTACAATTTAAAGATATTTATGCTTTAGTGCATCAAGATTAAAATAACTCTGAGTTCATATCTCTTTTGATTCCAGGCAAAATATATATTCTATAAAAATATCCTATGATTTATTTTAAATTATATTTCATTTACAACAATTATATATAATGATACGTGATTTATTATATAGGATAGAGAGAAAGGCACTTCGTTGAATATTAAATTAAAAATAGAAGAGAATTTTGTGGGAAGAGAAACTGCATTTTAAAAAGTTTTTTTCAAATTTTGCATAAATTTTTGCTAAGAGTTCATTGACAAAGATGCTGAATGTAGTTTGAGTTGAAAAAAAAATTTTGTTCATCTCATCTCAAGCAATTTTACATTTGGTAGTTCAGATACTCATCTGCAAAATCCCTCTCTGAGGCAGACTAAAAATATCTTCAGATAAGAAGACAATGAATGCTGAAAACATTTACAGAAGAACTATATACAAGGAATCTATATCAAAAGAAAGCTGACAACAATCCCAAATAGCTGCCGTACTTCAAGTAGAAGAAAATATTCCTACCTAAACAAACACAGCTGGAAAACAGCTCAATATTCTCTTTACAGCATTTTCACTGAGGGATGCAAAATGATACCTGCCAGCCTCAGAGAAGCAGCTGAAGGAAGATTAGACATATACACGTGAAGGAAACCTTTGCACTGATGTTTCAAAGACTTCCAAGAGGTTAGTGTGATTTCTTTGTGCTGAGGCAGAAGTGTTATATTCAATTTGGCAACAGCCTCAGCAGCAAGATAGATTCCATTTAGTGGATCCAGACTAGATCCAAATCAAAAAGACACCCTCTTTAATACAAGAAATGACTGCCTGATTAGAAATCCACTGAAATCTAAGGACTTATTCATTGATGGATGTCTCAGAAGAAACAAGCAACTAACTTTATTTTTCTAGGGCATAAACCTTGGATAGTTAGAAGAATGTGTTCTTTCTGACTAGCACTTTTCACTTTCAGCTGGTACTCAGTGACTGCATTTAACCTAATACATATAAATACCCACAGGAGCCAAAACAGAGTGTGTCTTCATAGGTGATGGGAGTTAATTGTAGTCTTTTATGACCCACATCGTGTCATAGTGGCCAGGAAATAAAGCTGACACCCCACATCTCTGAATGCATTTATTTATTGAGGACATTAGAGAGAATTCAAAATTTTCTACTATTTCTACTAATGCACACCTGCACTGTGGATTACTGATTAGATGATGCCCTAATAACATTAATGTTAATGACAGTCTACTAATTTGCATACTGAGGACACACTGAGTAGAAAAGCACAAGCAGTAGGTTACCTCAAGAGCCTAAAGAAATCTGAAAGTAGTATCTAAAAAACAAATGACAAATACTAAAATCAATAAGAGAAAACCTGCCTGTAAATTCAGACTAAAAATCTTCTGTATGTCCTCCTAGCAGAACTTCTTCTATAGTTTATATTTTCTATAGATTCTTCTATATTTGTACAGAAACAGATCATAAAACTGAGAACTTCTGTGACATTTGTCCAGACTTTTGGTCTAACCAGCAGAATTTTTCAGGGTTTTTGAACTGATGTATTGATATAGCGAGGAAGATGAAAGCAGTGAAAGAACCTACTCCCAAACCTTCCTGCCATCTGAGTTCTATTAATGCCATTATCC